TCAAGATACAAAGTGGATTCTATGGTAAAAATGAGTGGAAGGAACTTTATTAGAGAAAGAGAAAGGAATACATGATTGAAAGGAAACTAAGAAGGAAAAATAGTAAAACGGAGTGAGAGAGGGGAAGGGGAGTTTGTGAAAGAAAGAAAGAAAGAAAGAAAGAAAGACAAAGAAAAGGGATAAAGGATAGAGAATGTAGAAAGAAAGAGAAATGTATGGAAGGAAACCAGAGAGAGAGAGAGAGAGAGAGAGAGAGAGAGAGAGAGAGAGAGAGAGAGGTAAAAGAATTGAGAACGAGAAATGCTTGAAAAACGAGATGAAATAGCAAAACAAAACAAAAGAAAAAGAGAGGCAGGATAATTTGTTAAAACTATATAGATAGATAGATAGATAGATAGATAGATAGATAGATAGATAGATAGATAGATAGATTATAAGAAAGAATAAGCAAGAAAGAAAGAAAGAAAGAAAGAAAGAAAGAAAAGAAAACAGAAGAATGAATGAAAGAAAGAATAGATGAATTAAGTGTAAAAGAAAGAAAACGGATATGTAAGAAGAAGAAGAGAGAGAAGAAAAGAGAAAGAATGTCCAGGGAGTGCGCGCTACGTCACGGTTCTGTGTGTATCAAGGTAAGACAAACACGCTCACAAATCAAGCACTCTGTTTATCGTAAAGCAGAAGAAAAATTGGGTCTTTTTTTTTTTCAGAGACTCCAAAACATTTTCCCTGTTCACCTTTACTTCAAAATTTCTGCTGTAAAACGGGATATAACGCCTTGGAATCTGCAAGCTTTTAAAACCGTGATTGATGTCATAATGGTAAATACAGGAATTGTCATTTTTCCTTGATTTTTTTTTTGTTTTAAGAGAAAAATAACATCGTTTCTTATTTTGTGTTAATTCAGTTTTGCCGAAAAATCAAATACTGTTTTTTTTTTATTATTATAATGACATAGAATAAAAATGACTACAACTATTTGCATTTTTCTTTTATAAATAATTTAAAACATTCATAAAAGTCTACTTTGTTTATTTTGAATTCTATATGATTTTAGAGAATCTACTTTAGTAGTAGTTGTTTTGATGCCACATCTCTGGAATTTTATAATCACTGGTTGCACGTCTTAGCTTTGTTAAAATTATAGTAATAATAATAAAAGAATAACAGAGTAATTAAAAAAATGTGTTAATAAGGAGCATTTAATTAACGTTGTAAAAATAAAAATACATTCTACATTTTCTGCAATAATTGTGTACGTATTTTTTGTCAAGCTTTGTCACTTGTTTTCATTTTTAAACTAAAAAAAATCAAGTTTTTTTGCATATTTTTTTGTATCGTTTCCTTCAAATCAGGACTTAAAAAGCAAACTACCCAATTTTTAATACTAAAAAAAAAATAAATAAAAATCATACTATGATGAATGATACATTTTTTACAGAGTTTAGTTAGTGGTAGAACTAAGGTCAAGTACACTATGAGTTGCAGTTGGTTGTTGGTTTTTAAGAAGACACTAAAAAAATAAAATCAAAGCCGGTTAATCTTATGCTTGTAAAATCCACATTGATTATTATTCAGTATATTTGAATTACTTTCCAGTTGCAATTGTACGATCGTTTTATAATCAACCTGAACAAAAAACAACAATGTTTATGTTACAATATTGAATTAGTAATTAAAAATATTTCCCAAATTAGTCAAATACATGATTCATAGAATGATTTTCATTTTAAAAACTTAGATTTGTATTAAAAATGTCCACAACAGGTGTTGATGAAAACAACATGAAAAAAGTATACAAAAACTAGATTTTTAAAACTTGGCAAAAAACACGTCATACACTGACTGTAGTGTACACATCGGGGAATGAATTGAACATCTTTATTATTATTTTTAATTAAACGTCCCTTGTAACAAGTAAGAAAATTAATTGTTGTTTTGTTATTTTTTTGTATTTAAAATCATGTTTAAGCGCCCAAATCGTTTTTTCGGAAGAACATGAAAAATGTCTAAATTAGAAGAAAAAAAATCGTATTCAATGAAGGCAAATTTTAAAGGTGACTTCGTTTTCTCTCTCTTTTTTTTTCTTTTTTTAACAAACATTTCAACGGCAGTTATTAACTTTAGCTTTTATTTTGAGAAACTGTTGAAAGGTGAAAAGACAGTAACTCATTGTCTTTTTGTGTGTGTGTGTGTTTTATTTTTTTAGTTATATAATTTATGAACCTGGCTAAAATTTTAAAAATCAGTAGCAAAGCATTCATTAACAATTCTTATGAGGCAAATATGACCATTTAAAAAAAAATCAAATATCTATAATCCAAATTATTAGTAAAAGTAAAGCATTACTTCATTACTCATAAAAGTATTGGCGTCAATAACCACAAGGCCGTTAAAAAGTTTTATCCAAAAGAAAACCCCCTTTTTTTCTTTCTTTCTTTTTTTTTTTTTAAACATCTTAAAATTAATGTGTGTAATACTGAAAGAGTAGAAGTTCAATAAAAACACGCTATTTTTAGTCTTGGTTTGTCATGTTCGTCCAGTAGTTCATTTGTGTGTTATAGTTGAAGTTGACCTATGCTCACTAACAAACAACAATCAGTAACTATGTGCAACATGTGTTTGAAATATTTATAACACTGATTCAATTTTGAAAGAATAAAAATATTACAGGGTACTTCATCTGTCATAAATGATAATAGGTATAGCAGCTATTTTTGGTTTGATTTCGTGGAGATAATTTTGTTTATTTTACTAATAATACTCTTTTGTCTTTTCCTATTATTTAGTAGGAACCATTGTTTTTCACTGGGTCATAGGAAAAACGAAGATGACTCTGGTTTTGCTGAAGCTGTCTGTTTTATAGGATCAGGAATTACACCCTTCAGCTCTTGCTGGACAATCTGAAAAACCCATTTCAAGATTTAGAGGTCTGTGTTAGTATCTGCAGGTTGTGATGTAATTTCATGGTATCAACTAGATCTTGTTTCTTTTAAGGTAACCCCTAGATAATCACTGTTAAAGAAGCAGGTTGAAGCTAAAAACCTTCCAGTAGTATTTAACATTCATGGGTTTTAGGAAAGGTTTTGATTTTATTCACAGAAGAAAATTTGTGGAAATACTCAAGGTTTATGAAATTCCAACTACAATATCCTTACTTACCAAATATACTACACACAGATACTGTAGCACAGGTACTATCACCAGATTGATATACAGAGGTTTTTGAAATCTTGGATAGAAGCTTAAAGAGAGAGACACATTGGTTACATTTTTCTTCATCATTGCCCTTGACAACGCAATGAGACTTGCAACTAAAGACGAGAAAAGTATTGGGTTTAATTTAAAAGAAGAAAGATGTAGTCAGTATCCTGAAATTATCATCACAGACATAGATTCTTACCTGCAACACTTCTGCTATGTTTTCTTAGATTAGAATCAGCTGCAGCACAATTTGGATGCTATACAAATAAAACTGAAACATAATTAATGTCTTTTAATCAAATGGAAGGAGATTTTATGACATTCAATGTTGTTCTAATTCAAATAGATGATTTTTTTTTATACATGGGATCATAGTTGAACTCCTCGTAAAAAGACATTGATATCCAGTTCATGGTATCCTCAACTTCTTTCTGTAGAACCACATTTCTGTTGCTTCAAGTCTGTTTTTCATCAGTGATTATCTAGGGGTTACCTTAAAAGAAACAAGATCTAGTTGATCCCGTGAAATTACATTGTAGTGGTCTAATTGTTTCAGATGTCAGAGTTACCATAATGTAGTCACTTGGTAATAAGAATGGACAATTGTAGATGTTTGTTTATGACTGCATGAATAACATGATCGCACAATTTATATTAAACGTAAAATACCACAAAGCATGAAATACAGAAAGAACAAAATAGTTTTAAAACATAACATTGTATTTATTTGTATGTTGATGTACATGCGTAGAAGTTAAAGATCTGTTGGAGTTATGTCTCTTAGACTGGGAATATTTTTATCTCAATTCACAAAAGTTGAATTAATTATTAAACTATAGTTTTAGAAGAATATTTCAAAGAGAAAAGTTCTTGTTGCATGTTTGGAAATGTTCTGTATGTTTGTAATGGTAGGTTGGAAAAGTTTGTACGTATGTGAATGCGTGAATATGCTTTTAACATCTGACCGTCCATGGTCGAGATGAGAATCTTTTTGGGACTACATCTTGCAGCAAGAAGAGAGAAAAGAGAAAAAAAGAATGAGCGAACTCTTGTCTGCTATTTATAATGTAATCACATGACAGGATCACAGCACATGGCGGGAAACTTGATTTGGTCACGCGCTGGAAAAATATATTGTGTGTGGGTGGATTGCAATGCCCACTTGTGTGTTTATTGACCAATTAGAAACTGATATTTCCTGAAAATATTTCCTAAGCTGAGAAGGCTTCTGGGATCCGCTTTTTTGCACAAAAATATACAAAATTAAACATTGATAAGGAAGTGGTAGCAAGATGCTACAACATCACAAATCACAGACACAGATTTTGTAAGTTATCAAATTCTTGCATGCAAAACTTCTGAACAAGCAGAAGTTATGTCTTCTTAGATTAGAATCTGATGCAGTGCAATTTGGACATCATACAAATTAAATTAAAACAGAATTCATGTCTTTTAATCAAACAGAGGATGATCTTATAACATTCAAAGTTGTTATTCTAATTCAAGTGGATGATTTTTATATTTGTTACTATAGTTGAATTCCTCACAGAAAGACATTGATGTTAGAATCGCAATGACATGGAGAACACTAACAAAAACCAGTACCATTTAGAAGTCAAAAATGGAAAAAAATTTTGAAAGTGTAACTCTTTAGATTGAAATTACAAATTATCACCTTATACTAGGTATGCCCAAAGTCTGGCCTGAGAGCCAATTACCAAAAGATGGAAGCAACATTATGGCTGCCTTCTGGCGGTGTAACCCTGACATTGGCCTTTTTCAGACAATTTCTAAAATCACTGCCTTTGAACCAGACCTGGCCTACATGCTTCAGTCCAGATCTCATTATCACTGTTCATATTAGTGCAGTCAAGTTATTTGTTTTGATCATCTGAGATGAATAAATTCAAAAATCTTAGTGAATTAAATTTGTTTTGTGTTGGTCAAAATCAGTTATAAATATATTTGGACACTTGGACTTTTGTCACTTTGTTTTCTACTTCTTAATAAGATGAATGTTTGTGTTATGTTCCTATTCATATGTTTTTAACTTAAAAGTTAACAGACAACATTAATTACCAATAATGTATAATGTTTAAGATTAACCTGAGATATATTATAGCTTCCTTGAAGTTCTTGTTTCTCAGACATATTTTACTTCATCTTATATGGGCTTCAGATATGACAGGCTGAGTGATTTTGGTAAGACCTATTTAAATTTATTCGTCATCCATGTGAAGAAATGAAAATATGCCATTTGCAATATAATTTTCATAAGATAGTTCATTTGCATTTAGTTTGAATGGTTCAAAGGATGCCATATTCACGCAACATTTCAGAACAAGCATATTCACCTCATCAAATCTGGCCTTCTTTGATAAAAGTTTGGACACCTCTGTCTTATAGAATTCAAGCTGTTGGACCATAATAAAATCACTGGCAAAAAACCTAAATGGAATGGACACTCAATTATTGAGAGCCATGCTAAATGCCAGCTGGAAATAATACACACCCAATGAAGAACTATACGGGAACCTATCAAAAGATTTTTTGACACAATCTTTGAAAGGTCAGTGCGACTTCACAGCCATTGCTAGAGAACTAAACAAGAAGTTAGGCATCAGCTTATACTATGGGTTCTAAATGATGGGGAAAGATCAAGGGGTAGACCAGCAATAATCTTTATTGACCAACTCATAGAAGACATCAGAATCAGAAAGGAAAAACTGAGTTATAGATGACAGAAATTGTTGAAAAGAGGTATCCAGAAGTGTTCATTTGAGGATAGCCAGATAGATAGAAGGAAAATTGAATACAATATGAGCCTGAAGAAGGATGTACTCATTTAAGTTATCTAGCCCTAGACACACTCACTGCTGCCATAGCTGCAGTGCATACACTGCCTAAATGACCCTATTGGGTTAAGGGATGCATGAATATTTTCCCAGGTATGTATGCAGGAGAAGCACATATTGATGTAGTTTAATAGTTAACAATCTAGCTCAGTGTTTCTCAATCAGTGTGCCCTGAAAGGTAGCCAGTTGAACCCCAAGATAACAAGAGTAATTCATGAATTATTTTATATTTAAAAAATCTTTATTTTGAAAAAGCTAGAGACACCAAGCACATGGCTTCATGTCTCAGTTAAGTCTTTATCATTTGATATTTTAAAATGGATGCTAAATTCATTAATCTTTAACAAGGAGTAGATAATCCTTTCCCTTTTGCCATCTTCAAGGGATTTAAATCAGTCATTATCAGACTCTTGAAAAAGAAATAGCAGATTCTTCATAAGTCCCTTTAAATCAAAACTGTACTGCTAATTTTTGAGAATGCTAAACCAAAATTTCAGATTTTCAGATTTCATAACTAATTTTTCATTAAAATATGATATCTAATCTTTTTCTTTGTATTGGTTCATTTAAGTAAATGGGGTTGGAGGGTAAGTTTGGCTAGCTTTAAAAAAGGACTCGTAACTGGAAAAACCGAATGAAAAAAGAATGTTAACAACAAATACTTTTTCACACCCAACCCAGTTCTGCGGAATCAGAATCAACATTGAGTTTAAGCAAGTGAATGAGCCAATTGGAGTAAAGTGCCATGCAGATTTAAATTTTTCCCACTTGTGACGAATGCAGCTATCAATGTTTTTTTGCATGCTAGTTAACATTCATGTCAGTCAGCTGTTGGCTCTCACACTGGCCAGTACAAAATGGCCGCAAACTACATGAAAAGTGCCGTAGAAGCATGAAAAAATCGATTATTTCCACTATCGATGAGAGTTGGGAAATGCAAAGTCAGTCTTGGCCTTCCCGCTAACTTGGAGCATGTGCGTGTAAATTTTGGTGCAAATCCATTGAAAATTGCGGCCGTGCATTCGTTACACACACACACACATCCGGCCTCTTATAGATAGAGATGTGTATATTTGAATAAATTCCAAAAATATTCATTTGATCAGAAGAAAATAAAAATATTGCTTGTAGTAACAGGCAAATTATGACAAGATTTAAAGTTATGAAGAATATACATGATTTCTGTTGCTATAACAAACATTTTTTGTAGATTAAATTTGTTAACAGATCTTTAAATAGTCTTACATAGTCATCAAATATGGCTTCTAAGAAAGTTGATTTATTTATGAATGAAAGTGGACAAGAATGTTGTTGCATGGACCCAGTAGTAAGCATATGATTGCAATTGTCAGAGTGTCCAGATCAAGGAATTGCAATTGTCAGAGTGTCCAGATCAAGGAATTGCAATTGTCAGAGTGTCCGGATCAAGGAATTGCAATTGTCAGAGTGTCCGGATCAAGGAATTGCAATTGTTTCAGTGTCCAGTCTCAGAAATAGCAAATCATATAATAAGGATAATTCCTCATCTAAAAAATTCTAACATAAATTCACAGAAACTTCTTTTGTTACTAGTTCTCATCAATGTAAGAACTTTAAAGCTATTGGTTTTATGGTTAAAATCTGTTAAGGTATGAAGCAGTAACTAAATATCCTCCTAACAACACTATTATTGGGAGTATTTTTAAAAGTTTTATTTACACTGTGAAGACATATTGAGTATAATACAGCAGCTGGAGTCTCTGTTCTGTGAGAGGAAACCACCAAGTGAGATACTCACTGACAATGACACAGCATAATGGAGCAATATCAAAAGGATTGCAGCCAGGATGAAGTTGTAGAGGCCACTTACTGGTACAGTGAACCCCCCAAAGATCACACCTCGATACTGGCTGTGCCTGCAAATCAAGTCTAAAGATACGGGATTCGGCGTAAAGGGATTGATTCAGTACCTCTAATGATGTCTGAAGTGAGCCACAATGTGTACAAGTTGGGAGACCCTGTGTAGGTAAAGGCCTCACACAACTGGTGTACAACAACTTTTGGAAAAGGACGAATTACTGGACTTGTTAGTCCACAATTAGTCTTTGTGGATGGAATGCCCCACCATGTCAGGGATTTTTGTCTATCCTTAAGTTCACGATCTTCGACAAGTAGTGAAGAAATGTCTAAAAGTTAGGATGAAATCCTTGTGAGGATGGATAGGCTAGGTGATCCCATGGAGGAAGAATCACATAGGGACGATGTGGAGGAACACGAACCAGTCCCACTGGTGAAGCACTCGACAAAAGAGCCCTGCTCTAAGCTGTCGTATCTGTGATCAGATGGGGAGTGTGACAGATACAAAAAGATCCCCGGATCGCATGCAGACATGTTTATCAACACCAGTTACATCCAGGTTTTTCCCATTAGCAGTGAGGCAGTTTGGCATGCCTAGCTAGATACAGGCCTCTCTGCAACTGGTCAAGATCCGGGTCTTTGTAAGAGGCCAATAAAACCTGGGGGGAAACAGCAGTTGGCAAGACACTGTGTCTTGTGAAGTCTGTCCTGTGGACATTTTGTTCCTTAAGTTGCTTTGATTTGTGAGGCAGTGTTATTTTTTGCTACCTCCTGTCTCTTTCCCTTGTTTCTCTATTATCACCCCCTGTAGTTGTTGGGAGAGCAATCAGTTAGGTGCTTCTCCCCCATCTCAACAGACACTTTGTTTACATTACAACACCCCCTCATCTAGATTTCTTAATGAGGCATGCCATCATGTGATTGTGAAATCATAACCAAGGGTTGGCATGTATTTCTCTGATCAGTTCCCTCTCATTTCCTCCTAGAAATGATGCTGCAACTACTGTCCCTCATGTTGGGCACCTCGGCGTGGTGTAATGGTTAGCAAGCTTGTCTCGCAAAAACTGTTACGACTGAATAGTGAGTTCAATCCTCATTGGGTGCCCCATAGTTTCAGCCTTGTGCCACATCTAAGCAATGCTTAGAAAATCAATACTGTCCCTCATGTAATAAAGTAATAAAGGAAATTATCTGTTGTTGATGCAACCTATGATATAGAGTTGGGGGTCTGTAGAATTAAAGTCAGAGATGATACAATATGCAACACAAAGGAGAGAAAACTGTAGGACCATAATTGTCCAGGTCCTGAAGTGAGATGGCTCATATATATATATATATATATATATATATAGGAAAGAACTCGTTAAGTAAATAATCCAAAGTTCTTTAGTATTTTTGTTCTTATTTTTAAAAAATAGTGTTCGATACAAAAGTAGAGCATAAATATAATTATTTATTTAAAATATGATTCAATGCTACATAAGAGTTCTCATGTTTCAAAACAAAAACTTCAATATAATTATTTGAATTAATTGAATAAAGCTCTGTTCCATCGTCAAGCAAAATTTTCTTGAAATGGAACAGAGCTTGGTACTTTAATTCAATTTAATTCAAATAATTATATTGAAGTTTTCGGTTTTGTTTTGAAACATGAGAACTCTCATGTATATTGAATCATATTTAAATAAATATTATATATATATATATATATATATATATATATATATATATATATATATATATATATATATATATATTATTTTCTTTTTAGCTTTAAATTAACATTTCATTCTACATATAACCCCAATTTAATGTCATAAGGTTAATATCTGGGTTTAATTTTATAAAACCTCTTCCCTTTAAGACAAATACCTTCCACCCTCCCCTGACCACTTTCTCGTGCCTTTTGAAACATTGAAGTGGATAAATTCTGTATTAGCTTTTTGACTTTCTTTTTGTAGCTTTCACAGTTAAATTTATATTTCCAACATGAACTCAGTCTATACTATATTTTATATTTTAGTCTTTACTATATTTTTAATATAAGTTTATTCCCAATATAAGTTCATTTGGGATTTTATTGTGTATTAATTTTTGCTCTGTATTAAAAGTGATCCACAAAAAGAGCTCAATGTATTTATTAAAATACATTGAGCTCTTTTTGTGGATCAGTTTTAATATTTTATATTACTAGGATCCACTTGGATTTTATACCAACAGATTTATTACCTTTACTATATATATTTTGAATCTAGATTTTAAAACATAATTTATGTTTAAATATTTCATTTTGTGTCTGGTAAAATTTTAAATCTATTTATTGTTAAAACTGATTTTGGTTTGATGAGAAAACCAAAATATTACCATGGGTTTCTAAAGTCTCTGTTTTCATAATATTTTATTTATTTATATATATATATATATAGAGAGAGAGAGAGATTTTTTTGTAATTACTCTCTCACTACTCTCCTCTTTGCCATGTGATTTTCTCTCAAGTTGTTTAGTATTAATATTGATGATAAAAAACATCTCCCCTCTTTTAATTTTCTTTATCAGTCTTGTTAAGCATAGATTACATGACTGCATCTGATTGACAAAAATGTTTAGATTTTCAAATGTCTTTTTGTTTTATCTGTTAATCAACATAAAGTAAATGTTTGATTCTTAACCGAATTGTTTCTCAAAGATGATTCTTAAAGTTCTTTTCAGTATTTGCTTTGAACTATGAGAGCTGGCATCATAAACAGTTTTGCAAGGTCTGAGATCTGCAGACAAGGTCTAAATAACAGCTGTTACGTATAATTACATATTTGTCCTAACTTTCCCCCCCCAGAGAAATAAATTTTTCCATTATTCTATAATTAACATTATTTGATTCAAGCACAGTATAAAATTAAAAAAAAAATAAATATAACCAGTATAAACATTCACTATAACATTTTAAGAATTCAGCAGAAAATTAGTCATTGCTCTCTGTAAAACCTGCACTATGTGTTACTGTTATGTATATTTGACAAGACTATAATAGATGACACAAGAACAGGTGGGGATGCCATTGACCCCTACCCCTGGGCAATTAAAGCTTGCCATGTCGACTATCTTGTAAATACTTCCTTTTTCTCTTTTTTTTTTTTAACTTTCAAAATGAAGTAGGTTTTCATCATGTAATGGTTTTAATTCAAAAAACAATATAATAATTAAAATATTTACACCTCCAGGGTATTGCAGATTTTACAAGCAATTATATATACTGATTGGTGAGGATATGTAGTCACATGTAGGTATGTATGCTTGTCAGAATGATAGGTTATTTTAGGTTTCATGACATTCTTCAATATAATATGAAGTAACTTAAGTCTGGATTATTTTATTATTATCAGACCTGTTGCAAAAGATCATTTGTACCCTCCTCCCAAAAGAGTTCAAATTCTTACTTGCAGCATGGGATCCTTGCCCCCCCCCCATGATATTGCATTTTCTGGTTGTGATGTTTTTTTTGTGATTGATTGATTTGTTTTTATGGTTTATCAACCTTTTGTGGGTCATTTAAAGCTGAAACATATTTCTAGATTGTAAGAATAATGTTTTTTTTTCTTTTTTTTGTGAGCGAATATTGCATTAACAGTTTCTTGAGAATAAAAATGATTTTTCCAGATACAAGTGCTACTATTTAACCCATAGCTGCAGGGAGAAAATGTATTCATACAGCTTCTTATCAAGTTCCATTGATGGTGTGTCTTGAGGTTTGATAGTTTCTGGTCAGAGAGTTGCTAGAAGATGGCTTCTGTGAGCATTACATTGTATTCACTGAAAAGTTACATTGAGCAACTTTTGGATGTATAGATCCAAGTGAAAAAAAGATTGTGGACAATAATGTTATGTATTGTACTTCTAACTTTTTCTTTATAGTCTTATTGGAATCAAAATGCAAAGATAATATAGAGAAAAAAATTCTTCTACTTTTTCTCGAAGTAACCCTGGGTTACATCACAATTATAATGATTTACCTTTATGTTATCAATTGTCTAAAAATAAAACTCGTTATATATTGAGCATTTTTATTTTTTCTTTAATCTATTTCCATCTTTTTCATTTCTTTGATATCACCTTAATTATCAGGTTTATTAAAGTGTAGTACTGTTGAAGTTTATCAGCTAATTTGAATTTTGTCGGTAAATTGAAAAAATTTGATGCTTCTATTTTAAAATTTTTGACTCAAAAACAATTTTTTCTTATAAAAATAGTTTATTTCAGGTGGCTGATATAAATTGCTTGACCTACCTGAAAACTGATAAGTTTGTACAACCTTTATTAACTAAATTTTGCAATCAGCCAAGATCGTAAATTGTCATTTTTTTTTTCCAAAAATGAACAATTTCAGTACAGCAAAAATGGTAGCTAACCATGAAAGACTAAGGTCATTTTCAGAATCAGTACCATCAAATTAGCTAAAAAATGTGTTTTGTTTCTTGACACCAAAAATCATGTTGACCAGTGTA